AGAACATGTTCCTCCAGTTTCGGACACAGAAACTTATTTTTGGAGTGCACTTTGGCTACTTCAGTTACACACTTTGTGTGCTTATTTAATTGTGGAGTGTGTCCTTTGAAAGGAATTTAATTTCATCTCACATCACTATAAAGTTTGACTCTATATTCCATTGGAGCTCGGGCTTGTGTGGGTTGCAAGATGAACAAGCTTACTTAAGTGCATTGTACCTAACGGTGTACTATATTCCAGTTAAATGCAACGTACCTTACGGTGTTCCGTATTCCATTTAAGTACATTGTACCTTACGATGTTGTGTAATTCACTTAAACACATTGTACCTCATGGTATTATGTATTTCACTTTATTACAATGTACCTTAATGTAAATTGTGTTTATCTAATTAACGTCATAACTTAATAATACTGCACAATCGAATAAGCTTCACTTATTCCTTTTATCTCTTGCCAATTTGTTCGTATATGTGTGACCTTGTAGGTTCTCTTGACATTGACATATTTAATATAATAAATAGTGAACGGTATCTAGTAACACATCACTACTATCCAAGTCACGAAAAATATCATGTGATTTGATGAATCCTTTTTGTGATAATGTTTATGTGTATAATTACCTTCTTTTCCCTTGTTTTTATATTGAACACAAGGCATAGGTCGTGTCACCCTTGTCTAGTTCAATATTGGACCCTTAAACATTTAATTTCTTACACATGATAGATAAATGGACAAATTCTATCTAGATCACTCATGTTCCTCAACATGATTTATGAAGTACCCATCAACCACTTTTATAGTCATCATGTTACATATAATTTTTAATGATGATAAAGTATTCAACTCCACATCTAGGGTCCATAGTGGTTTTAAGTCAAAAGATGGTATAGACCATTATCACATTGAGAATAACTTATGACACTTCAATAATATTTTATGTAGTATTCTCATGGTGAGTCAATTTGATATAAATATTATTTCTTATATTTATATCTATGTGAAGATTTGATAACTCTATTCATGATCTGTGAGATGTGATCGTCAATTTATTTATATAATATCCTCGATGCTTTAATGTTATCTCACATCACTATAAAGTTTGACTACATATACTTTAATAATAATGTATTTATGTTTAATGGGGTCTCACTATTAAGTTACACTTAATACTTCATCAAATAGACTAGTTATTCTAGAAATTTTATTATTTTAAAAAAATATATAATAAAGAAATGTATTACCATTATTATTAGATAATTCAATGCACGAATCAAGTTCAAATAAAACTATTAACATTTAGGATTTACACCTTAACATGAGTTTCAAGTGAGAGTATGGTTTAGATCAATTTTATTGGTTCCCGTTGTAGACTCCAAGTGTACTTGAGTAAAGAATGAATATTAAGTTCTAATATGTAAAGAGTGAATGAATTCTTAATTGATGAGTAAAGTTTTTATAGGCACAATTTTCTTTCAAAAAGACGTTTTTTCATATATCAATGTGGTCACACTTCCTCTACCTTGACTTAGTAGTTGAAGTGAATGGTGTGAGTCATCCTTTTAAAATATGAGATACGGTTAACACATGAGACTTAGATTATATTCGTTATTGACTAAGAGAATCATGTTAATTTATTTAGAATGTGTCTTGACATGTCACCTATACAAGGTGAAACATAATGGGATATAAGGAGAGCTCACCAACATGACCTTACCCTTCCTTATTCGAGTATCCCTCGTGTTGTCTAGGAGTTGGAGAGTTAACGAATCGAAAATGTTGGCCTTTGTTGCACTTGATTTATGATATTACTGTCCAATTTCTAAGAAGAAGGTGGCATAAATAACCATGCATGATTAGATTATAAGTTTGTCATTTCATCAATCATAGCATGTCAACAACATGAATAAGTAAAGGATTATTGCAAATGCTTAAGAATAGTGATGTAAAAAGTATTGGAGACAAATGCATAATGGAAAGATGATGAGTTGCGATTACTGATAAAAATTATAAATAGAATAAGAATTATGTGTGGAACGTGTACCTCTGCATAATGCAATAACAGATTAATCAAACATGGTGGATGGACCCAAAGTAAAACAAGAAATTGGAGTAGAAGATTAGTCACTTGGACCATCTGTGAGAGATGGATCGGTAGAAGGGAGCATGGTAAGCGCTGCTACGTTTGCAAGGAAAGTGGATTAGATAACTCTATAGGAGAAATTGGGTCTAAATGGTCAATAACAAACATGGATGGTCGAATGGAAAGGAAGATGTAAAGAAATGTGTATCTTCAATGAATGTAACATCGATATACATGTGGATACAATGTGTGGAGCAATAATAGTAATAATTAGGGAAAACACGTTAAATTGTATGAGTAGACAATTTTTCAAATCTTGGAGTAAGATCATAAACAAGCATGCGAATCCATAAACTCGAGGAGAAATACATACTAAGGTTCATCATAGAACAGTCTGGAAAAGGGAACTTTACTCTAACTAACGAAATATTACATTAAATTAATGAAGTACCCTGCATTAGCATGGATAAGAAAAATTGGAATTGTTTCAACTATATGGCAGATGCTTACATTCAAGAATACAATGTTATTCGGAGGTAATAGAACAACCATTTTGAACCATAAAAAAAATTAAAAGATGACAAGAAAACACTATAATCATAGTGATAATGAAGCTTAGTAGCAGAACCAGAGTGAAGTGGAAAGGGAGATAAGTGTTTGAGGGCAAGGTGAGGATGACATCTCTGTGTAATGACCCATTGAAGTGAATAAGTTGATCTGAGCTTTACAACGTAGAGAGAAAGAAAAAGTTGATAATGGGAGCTGCCGTTGACAATGGCTCAATGTAAAGGGAGGTTTGGTGTTGTGTGAAACAAAAACATCTGATGTTGAAGGAATGCCTACATCATAATCACAAGTCTTCTCTTTTTCACCTATACTATGTGGGCCTCTTTAAATATGGTCAAGACTTTCGGGGGGGATTTTTGACCATTGATCAGTCAACCTGTTAAACAATATAGAAATTTGCAGCCGAACTCATAGTCACGTATATATTATTAAAAAAATAAACAAGTATTCAGACTAAGTCCTATCTTAAGCAGGACAAAATTAGGCAGATGCCTCCTCGAATATCAAAAACTGATTGGACATTAGAGATTCACCAAAAACAGAATGTTTTAGGTGTTTTATTAAAAAAAAACATCATTTAGTTAGAAATATATTTAAACAATTTTCTCTCTTTTAAATATTTGATTCAAAAATTTAAAAATAACTAGTACTCCAATGTCTAAAGGATGAAAGCAAGGAAAGGTTAATCTCTCATTTACTTTAATCAACCCCACATAACTAGCAGTAGTTTGAAGTTAAGGTGAGTTTCCAATTTTTAACTGAAACCCTGAGCCAGAAAGCGTACCCTTAATGAAAAGGAAATTTGAAAACGCAGGTGGCATGAATGAAAATATATCAAAAGTCCTTTGTCAAAGGTTACTTGGCATTCACTTAATCTACCAAGTACACACAAATCTAACTCCATCCCTTATCCCGACCCTTCAGATATTTCGTGAAATGCAGAAAACAGAAATGTACTACACACTACAATGATACATCATACCAACCACTATTGAACTACTATGTGCAAATGAGCACTCCTTCCAATTAACATTAAAAACTGAGATTCTGCTGAGCCAAATTCAAAGATTGCCAGAAAGTTAAGCAGCCTTTAGGTTCTTGTGTCTAAACAAGAAATGATAGACAACTGTTGCAACTTGCAATTGACCAAGTGCTATAAGGTGATGAAGCTACTAGTTTTTTTTTTTTTACCTCATGCTGATTGTTGCCGAGTAAAATATAAAAGGGCATCAATCAGCATTCATAATGTAAAGTTTGTAAACTGGTACATCAAGTGACCAAACATGCAGTTTGAGAAAAGGAAACAGAAATAGATTATTGGAGTAAAAACACTGAAATTATTGCGAGATGATTAATCAGAAAAATATACTTGGTTGTGATTTGAGACTTAGAAGACCTTTACTCCTCTCAAAAATGAACAGTGTAAAACACATTGGACAAAACATTTCAAAGAAAAGAGTGTATAAAGAATTTCATCGAAAACACAGTGGATAAATCATTTTAAAGAAGGTGCAAAATTTCTGAAACAAATGTCAAACAAAGTTGACAAATAACCAAAAGGAGAGATAAAAAAAATTTACAAAATAAACAAATGCCCCCAACATGACTCTCAAACATTACAGCACCTGATTATTCTCGGCTAATTCTTTAACTTAAAAAGATAGAAATCATTTGCATTGTTTGGTTACAAAGTATAATCAGAATAAACAATTTAGAAACTGGTTAGAACTTAGAAGTTTATTTCCAATGATGCCAAAGATTTTACTTCTATTCATAGAAAAGCTAATGATGACAATGATGGAGATGATCAATGCAAAGTTTAAAAAGGAGCAAATCAATGGAACTATATGACATGAAAACACAGGAATTGCAGAAAACATGACGCAGCCATTGTATAAAACTTATTCAACCTCTTGTGACAAAGGCTTCATCCAGAGCCAGGAAGCATGAAGTATAAGGAGGCTTTGAAATTTTAACTACAAGCCTGTCAAACACCAAAACCAAGTGAATCACCAAAATTAATATAACCCTCCCACCAAAAAAATAAAAGAAGCTAAATTCCAAACAAAAGCACTGAAATAATCATTGTAATAATAAACTCTTACTCTATTAATTAAACTATATATACTTATATATATCTTTTTTTCCTTCCAGCAATATACTACTACCACTACCACTACAATGAACAAGTAAAAAACCAACTAGAGTAAACCCTCGTTAAAACCAACAAAAGCAAGGGAATTAGCATCTTCAATTCACTCCATCCAATATCTCCTTCTTTACAAAATTCTTCAACTTTATACCTCAATTCCATACCCCATTTACAAGCTGCAATTCACTTCACATCTTCTCTATCTCTGCAAAAATCAATCATCAAAAATCAGTAAAAACACAGAAAAAATCATCAAAAACAAACAGAAACACAAAGAGGAAGTTAAAGATAGTACCTTTGTTGGTGTATCAGCTACCCTATAAGCATCAGCAGTAATTCCCACTAACCATAACCCAGGGAAAACATTCTGAAAATTAAAACAAACGAAAAAAGAAAATTTTCAGAATCAATCAGAAGAAGATTTCGTTAGAGATTGAAAAACTGAATGGGTGAACGAGAGAATCATACATCCATTTGTTTCTGAACATTCTTGGGCCTCTTCCTGGGCCTGCGATTGGGCCTAGAACCAGTCATCACGAAAATATCCTCTTCGATCTCATCCTTCGAAAGAGCGATCCAGAATTTCCTCTTTTCCTTCTTCTCAGCGCAGCTTGTATCAGCAAAACCCCTAAGCCGAAGCGATTTCGGCACCGGATTCTCCCCGTTGTTGTTAACCGCATCCTGCAATTCCCCACCACCGTTGTTTTTTGAAGCTCCGGCACCGATCTCAAAAGTGCCTCTCGGAAGCATAGGTTTCCTCGGTCTCAAATTCCACGGCTTCTGCACTATCTCCTCGGCTACAGTAACAGCTTCAGCGTCTTCTTCAACGTCTCGCTTACTATCTCCTCCGGCATCATCGTCGGTTTCCTGGTTGGAAGACGGCGGAGGATGTTTGTGAGAGAAGGAAGAAGAAGGGAGTCCGAATCGGTTCCTGGAGGTTCGGGATCCGAGTCGGTGAGGACGGGAGTCAGGTTCGGAATCAGGCTCGGAGGAAGCGTGATCGGGTGGACGACGGGAACGTTGATGGTTAGTGGTGTTGGTGTTGTTCTTCCCTGTGCCGCCCCATTTCAAGAAGGGGAGAGAGAAGTTGTGAAGAGGTTGAGACTTCACTGGTGAAGGCGCGGTCGTCATTGGTAAACGGCGAACCAGTAGCGTCGGAAGTTAAACGATGAAGGTTTATGTTTTCGGAACGGTGTCGTTTAGAAATGAGAAACCCTAGGGTGTTGTGTTGTTAATGAGGGTGGTGGCGTGGTGGTGGTTTTTAGCGTTGCGGAGTTGATTGAGTTTAGAGAGAAAACTAGACGCTGGCTACAGAAGCCACAAGGAGTTTCATGCTATGTGCTTATGGGCTATGGGAAAATATAAGACTGAGTGTGAGTGAGTTCAATTTTCATTCCTATTTGTTTTGTTTTGTTTTGTTGCTAAATTTACGATCTACACTAGATTCTTTCAACTTATTCCCCTCAAGCTCCTCTATCCATTTTATTTTATTTTTACAATTTCTTCATTTTATTTTATTTTTACAATTCCTTCATTTTATTTTAAATGTTTTAATTAAAAATTGAATTGGAGAATGGAGATTTAATCGGTGTGAACTTTGAGTTGTGGATCTTCTCCTGCTCTTGATAAAGGAGTACAATTCTTTTTTGTAAGTATGCACATTCTTAGACATTTAACCGAAGCCGAGTAGCTTATAATTAATTAATGTGTACGTTGAAGTTGTAAAAAAGTTATTTAAAAGGTTTATTTTTTATATTTTGATGAAGCAAAACTAAATAATGTCTAACATTTAAATTATATCTTAATTGTTAATCTCTTTAGATGGAAGTCACTCGCGTAGATGTGAGATGAGACAAGTAAGGATGGTTTCAAAAAAATTGTGATGTGCTTTAAGTTTGAATTGGTCTTTCTCCATTGATTTTTGGTTTGACTGTTTCGGCTATAATTCCAACAGTTCATTTTGGCTGATAAATTGGATATTGTGCAAGATGCAAGAAATGATGAACTATACAGATGATGCAAAAAGACGTGGGATCTTAGAGTCAAGAATTAGGGTATGACAGATGCCCCTATTTAAGTTTCTTCGATCCGGAGATGTGAAGATCAAAATCTTCGTATCGACAAGATCAGAGAGACTTAAATACAAACATTCACAATTTTTTGCCCTGAGATACCACAAAAATGCTTATGATATGATATGGATGCAAGACAAAGATCCTGTGAGAAAAGATGTCACGGGGGATGAATATATACTGGGAAGATGTTGCAATTCCACTGGGAAAGATTGATAACCTCACAGAAAAAAGTCTCAAGGAGACACAATTGAGGAATACAAGATATCATGGACATCTGCCTAGTGTAGTTGTTGGCTCTAAATTTTGACGTCTGAATTGGATTAAAAGGAAGTAATAGTTTCTGAAGAAATCAGATGACTTCGACCAGAACTACATTTTTTGAGAGTGAGTCGAAGGCGTCCCTTTGCAAGAAGGAACTATTTTATGGACTTAGAAATATTTCCTAACAATTAGGAAATGTGATTCGACAGAGGTGCTACTGAAGGCATTTCGACGGGAAGATTTGAATTCAAATAAAGGAGGGAATATTCGTTCTTATTCATTTCTCAAAGAAGACACGTGGAGCGCTTCCTAGAGTCGAAGACATGCGGAACGCCACTTGTTTCGATCTAGTTCGTTAGCCGTTGATGGTAGTTATTTTCGATTAGTATAAATATCAAGTCTTAGTGTTAGGATTACTGTGTGTGTGTTCAATTTTGTAGAAATTCTTCAATATACTCAAAGTACCTGCATGTAGAGAAACGAGTTCGCGAGAATGTATGTTGATGCAACACCATTTTTACATTTCAATGCAATTCAATAAGTCTTTTCATTAAGAATTTATCTTTTCCTTGCACAGTTACTTTCTACATTTTTTACCAGTCTTTCGACTTTAATCTCTTGTGTTCAATTTCATTTACATTTTTTAAACAAGTTATTTTATCATGAACTATGTCGAAGTGTTCATTGTTTTTCCACACTTTGTTTAAGATCAACTAGCACATGTCCTAGGATTTGTGTGGTCGATCCTGCAAGTAAAACAAATCTTTTTCGATTTGGAAGACTAGCGGTTGTTCACCAATTTTCACGACGAACAAATTGGCACGCCCAGTGGGACAGTGCTAAGTGATCATAAAATTTTCTTCGAAATTCTTGAAAATTCATTAGTTATGTGGTCAACTTTCTCTTTGAAAACTTCGTTGCATGTTATTAAGAAGTGGTAAAGTAGCCACCGCTAACGAAGATAGAACAAGGAGAAGATATAGGAGGATAATGACGACAAACTCTAACCAGCCAAATATTCCTCGGGATACGCCTAGTAACAATGTAGAGCCACCCATAGGATCTTCGACAGGAGGACCAACGCTCTCAGCGCCTATCTCTGAAGTAATACCATCTATGGGAAGTTCAATACCTACACATTTGATTGCCCATACACAACCCATTCTGACTTATATTGGGCCAAGGGGTCCTCCACAGACTCCACTACCAATAGGGGGTTCAGCATTCAGAAGCGTCCCTCCTCTTGGATTTGTAATACCCTTGCCTCAAGACCCACTCTATGGAATGTCAACTTCAATGATGGCAAACTTACAAAACACCCTTTCATTATATACAGAACTCGTAATGACTTCGCCATTACAGGGATCAGGTTCTAGGGTAAATATGGGTCGAAATAGTCAAACTTTAGGATTAGGGTATTCCGCTCAAATGCCGAATTTGACAACCAATTCTGCATCATACTTAAGGCAACAGATGGACGAGAGTAACCTTCAAATGATCCAAATGATATCCTAAACTATGGGGGAAATCTTTCAGCCTCTTATTCAGAATACTATCCAAACTAATCAACAATTAGCAACGCAAATGACGTGCCTTGTAGAATTCTTTGGTGTACCAAATCCCCCTCGACAACCACCAAGGGAGTATATGATAGAGAACCAAGGGTTAGTTTTCGACGAAGATACCACCATTAACCAAATTTAACAAAATCCGGGAAATATACCCCAAGCAAATCAAGACAACCAGGGAATGATCGAATGACCTAGAGTCGAACCCCTTAGGAATCAACTACAAATTCCTAGAGAAGAAGAACCAAGAGTAGTTTTAGTAAATAGGAATCAGAATGCTGAAAACGTTGTACAACAAGTTCGACGTAACAACATAGTAGCAGATAATAATTTGGCTGCTATGGTCGAAAGAATCATGGCACGTAACAGAGTAAATTTTGGCCTTCGATGGCCAAATTATACATCACCATCCGAATACATCCTTTAGTCAGATTTACCCCCAAGAACAAAGGTTCCTAAGTTTACTAAGTTTTCTGGGGATACTACTGAGTCCAATGTCAAACATGTGGCTAGGTATTTGATAGAAGGCGGAGAAATTTCGAATGATGAGAACCTAAGAGTAAAATATTTCCCAAGTTCTCTTACAAAGAACGCTTTCACTTGGTTCACAACCCTACCTCCAAATTTGATTCATAATTGGACCTAGTTAGAATGTTTGCTCCATGAGCAGTTCTACATGGGACAAACAAAGATCAGTTTGAAGAAATTGGCTACTATAAAACGAAAGTTTACTGAGCCAATAGATGATTATTTGAATAGGTTTTGACTTCTCAAGGCAAGGTGTTTCACACAAGTTCCAGAACATGAGTTAGTCAAAATGGTTGTTGGGGCCTGGATTATTCCATTAGGAAGAAACTAGATACTCAATACCTGAGGGATATGGCCCAGTTGGCCGATAGGGTTCAACAATTAGAACGCTTGAAAGAAGAAAAGGTTAAAGAAAATAAGAATAAGAGAATAGCTTATGTCGAATTCAATGAAGAGGACGAAAGGCCTTATAGTGAGCCTATGATTTTTGATGAGAATGAAGTAGATCTCGTTGAATTGAAACAAGGCTCACATTATTCTTGCAAGGTTTTAGCATCTTCGAATGGAAAGAACTCTGTCGAGCCAAAAAAGAATGATAGGTTTCCAAAGAAAACTTACACATTCAACGTCACTAAATATGACGAAATATTTGATTTGTTAGTTAAGGATGGGCAAATGATAGTACCACCTGGTGCTAAAATGCCTCCTTTATAGCAAAGAAAGAAAACAGGGTTTTGTAAATACCATAATTTCTTGGGTCATAAAACCTCTCAATGTTTTCTTTTCAGAGATCTTGTTCATAGTGCTATTTTGGAGGGAAGGCTCAAGTTTGGGAAGAAGTCCAAGAACCAGATGAAAGTTGACACTGACCCTCTACAAGTTATTGACGTTCATTATACGGATCCAAATGAAGTCAACATGATCGAATTCGCTGAAGATTTCAACAATGCAGTCAACATGATCGAAGTCACTGAAGACTTCATCAATAAGGCTGTTTTGGTCCAGGTTACTGAAGATCTCGACTAGGAGTTCATGAAAGATTTTGTTCGCGAAGCTACTGAAGGCTTCATCAAAGAAACTACTAATAATTTTGACTACGGAGTTACTGATGGTTTCGCCGAAGGAGTTACTGAGGACTCCAACCTAATGATGATAACGAAGGAAATTGCTAACGGTTTCGTTCGAAGGGATAAGGTCGTTGATGACCTTCAAATGAAATTTCGTAAAATGGATATTGTTGATGATGTCAATATGGATATCAACATAGTGGAGATATCACAAGAAACCCCATGGAAGTGGATGAGAAGCATCAACAGAAAGAGTATAACAAAGTTGCTTACCCAAAGCAGGAGGAGACCCTCATAGATTTTCTCCACAAATGCCAGAGAAAAAAGTCTGAAGTTATGATGTGCCCAAGGTGCAGTGTTGTGTTTCGACCTAAGAAGATCTTCTTCAAGGCAGGATGAAACCAAGAAAAGGGTGCTAGGAATTAAGTCTTCTACCTTCAAACCAACGGCTGAGGCTTCAAAGGGAAGTTGGATGAAACCAGTCGAAGGCAAGCATCATGGACAACATAAATGGAAAAAGTTCGATGTGGACAGGGGCTCATCAATGGCTTACCATAGGGAGTTTCAGGCTTTGAAAAAGACAGCCTACGTCTCAGAGAACTATAAAGGGAAAAATCTAATGTCTAGATCCT